TGCTTTACATGTACTATCTCATTTGTTACTCACGTAATCCTTGTTAGAGAGAAAATGTTATCCCACTTGCAGGTCAGGAAACAGGCTCAGAAAGGTTAATTCATCCCAAGTCACATCACTAATAAGTGATAGAGCCAGTATGAGCGTCTCTCAGCATGAGAATTTTGAAGGAGTGAAATGAGAAGACAGGATGATGATGCAAACATGATAGGACAAACGAGGGAACAGACATGAGAGCCATTAGAGAAGATAAGAGAATAGAACTGGAAAGTTCAGAAAGCAGACCAGACACTGAGGAAGAGAAGGAATTCTTTAGACCAGGTGGGTCTTTTAGAGTGGTAATGTCCTCAGTAACCCTGATCATTCTGTATCATCTTGGCTGATGTGCTTTTGAGGCCTGTGGGACATCTTACCATACAGGCCCACTTCCCACCTTATGTAGTACCTCCAGACGGTTATTTCAAAGCAGAGATTGTTTAAGGAATCTACCACATATCCTGACAGCGTCAAGGAGCTGGAAGGAAATCAAATTTGAATGACTTAAATTTAAATTTAAATGTGTCCTCAGTGTATGTGCTCTAACTTTACATTGGCTTTGCAGAAAATACTGTAATTTTAACTCATTGGAAAGCAGATGGGATCTGTCATAGAGGTGGTAAAACAGAAGAAACTTGTTCAAATGTAAGAAAAAGCAAGAGCTTTTTACTCTGGGGCCAGTTTCATAGCACAGGTATCTGTCACTGTGTGCACGCATGCTTGTATTTATCAAAATAATATGTCATATCTAATACGAGGGTACTCCAAAAAGTTTGTATAAAATGGAATTTAAAGATAATGCAAATCTTTCCGTAAACTTTTTGAAGACCCCTTGTATTTATTGAGCAATTACTATGTGCTAAGTGCTTTACACATCTTTAATGATCAAGGGGTGCCTAAGAAGTTGGTACTACTTGAATAAACACCCACTTTAAAAAGATGAGAAAACTGAGGCTTAGAAAGTTAAACCTAAGGTCATTTGGCTAATAAGTAGCAGAACTGAGGTTTGAACCCCAACCCCTTGATCATAATACTACACTATCCAGACATTCCCAGTCTGACTGGGAATGTGTAACCCCAATAATGCTACATTTTTTAACATTAGTACTCCAGAAGAAAGAAAGAGAGGGAGGGAAAGAAAAGATTAATGACCCCAAGACCAGTACCAGCTCTTGAAGAGAAAGAAAGGTGGGCTGGATGAATGGAAGCAGCGAGGTGGCCTGAAGCTGCTGTGGCTGGAGAAGGAATCCGTGGTAAAGGATAGGAGGAGAAAGGGTGGGGCAAAAAGAAATGGGAGTATAAAGTAAAAAAAATGAAATCAGAGTGCATGAAAAGGGAAGGAAGAAAGATTTTGTAAATCTTTAGAATAGAATATGAAGATTATATACTCTTACTCTAAGGTTTAAATTGAGGTTTAAATTAATTAAGGTTGTTTCTCTAATTTACCCTTCTTATTTCTAATTTCATGGGCTAAAATGACCCATTCAACTCAACCTTTGGAATTAATACTATTTGTTCTGATAGTTTCTCTGAGTAATGCTAAGTTCCACTCTGCAAGGTTAGTGTCTCAGTGAAAGGTGGGTGTGTTGTTTGGTCTTTTTTTT